TTCCGGACCATGGGTGGTGGGAGGTGATTGGAATCTTGAGTCGCATCAGCTTCGTGGGCAGCGATGGCTTGAACAGGTTCAGGCGATGTTTGTGGTACCTGTTGGTGCTACGTGCAGAGTTCACAAAGAAGCTGAAGGTCGTACTTATGATTGGTTTCTGCTTAGGCAGGCGCTGGCTTCGCGAGCTGGTGCCCCCCCTGATCTTGGATGACAAGATTTTACCCACGCATTCGCCTGTGGCCATTCCATTTGCTAAGACAGATAATGATATATGGTTGCGCTTGCCTGTTGAACCTCGTCACCTCCCGAAAGGACCAAATGTTGGCTGTTCTAGGTATCAGGTGAATTGGGTGCCAGTCATGAGGGCGATAGAGGATGTTGACGGGAATGCCTCATTGCAGCATGCATGGGATATGATTTTGATGGCAGTTGAGCAGGAGTTGTGTGCACGGTATGACAAGGCAGGAGCTGGTCATGGGAGATACCTCGGAAGAGGAGGACCAGTGCAGATTAAGCATGTCAAGGCGCAATGGAATCCGCGACAGGTGCGACTACAGCACGGGCCGCGACTTCGAGCTTGGCTTCAGGCTGCGCGCTGGGCTAAGCATCTAATGAAAGCGAGGGCCTTCTGGTGCAAGATGGTTGAGGCGTTCAAGCTTGAGGGTAGGAGCGCTGGCAAGTATTACCTTCCTGACTGCACGAGTCCGCACTCTGACAGGGTCGTAGTATTGGAGACGACGAATGAAGAGTTGGAGGAGGCCTGGCAGAAGGTCAAAGCCAAAAGACCACACATGCGACCCGAGTCTCGGCGTGCGGGGGTGAGGTTGGAGAAAATGCGGTCTGAACAGATGAGAGGTGAACAACAGTTTCCACAACCATGCACAAGGTGTGAAGAAGACCTTAGATCTCACAAGTTGCTCAGACCAGCTGCAAGATTGGCGAGAGCACTTCTTGATGTGGTCCACTTCTTGAATAAGGTGCACAATGCGCAGGGCACGCTGCAGCAGCTCGATGATTGGGCAGTTGATTTGTTTTCTGGAAATTGTCACTATGATGGTCAGACCTGGTTTTCTGACTTTGGCATTCAAGATTGTGGAAGTTGCTGGTGATATGATGATGGTGCATCAGAAGGAGGCTGACAAATCTTGACATTCATGGGCCAGGTCTGCTTTTGAGAAAGGAGCGGGTGCTGCACATCGAGCGTCGAAGGCAAAGGCATTGGAAGCTGCTGCCACTCACACTGATAACCCTCAGCCGTACCAACTTGCTGACAGGGAGCTTGAGTGCTGGAGTGAGGCATGGAGTTGTCATGAGGTGGTGAGCAACAAGATGCCTGCCGATTATCAGAGTTGGGATCTGCTACCGAAGCTGCAGCCTGAGGACCTTCAGGATGCGGCGCTTACTTTTCCATGGGAAACGTCGGTAGGCCCCACGCGACTGCATCCTCGCGCTTTCTGGTATCTGTCGCAGCCAGGCTTGGTTGCTCTTGCAGCTCTTTTTACGATGTGCGAGCACATGTTGATGTGGCCGTCTGACAGAATAGTCAATGAGATGGTTAGACTAGCAAAACCTGATGGGGGAACACGTCTTATCACCTTGGTCGGGTCGCTAGTCCGTCTTTGGCCCCGAGCTCGCCGACCGATTTCCAGAAGGTGGATTTGTGATCGTGGTGGCAGGTGTATTTGGGGCAACCGACGAGGGTACTCTTCCAGCTTCTCGGCCTATGAGCATAACTTGCAGGCTGAAATAGCTGATCGGCTAGGTGAATCTTCAATCACGGTATTCTTAGATGTGTGGAAATGTTTCGAGACGGTTATGTATGACGCCCTCATCATAGAGGCTAGGTCCATGCAGTCCCCCATGAGGCTCCTCTGGGTGCTCTTGGACTCGTACTCACAACCTAGAGTTATTCGGGCGTTTGGGTGCTGGAGCAAATCGTTTCGGGCTATGCAGGGTATACTTGCGGGATGTACTCATGCTACTACTCTGCTGTCTATCTTGACTTATAGAGCTGTCCATAAAGCTACCCAGGTGAGCCCCAACGTGCACCCGAGGGCCTTGGTAGATGACTCCACCCTTCAGTGGACTGGGCCCAAGGAGGATACCGCTCATGAGTTGTTCAAGGGGGCCCCGAGCTTCGTGAAGGACACGTCCGGGCTCAGTCTCTTGCTCCAGGTCAAAAAGTCTGGGTGGGTGGCTACGGCTGCATCGGCTAGGCATGGGTTTGGAAGGCTTGTTCAGAACATTCACTTGAAGGCGAAGTCTTGGGTGAGGCATCTGGGGCATGAGCTCAGTGGGCCCAAGCCGATCAGAAAGCAAGCCAAAGCCAGGTTGCATCAGCTAGCAGATAGGCTACCCAGATTAAAGATGGTGAGACGTGGAGCTAGTAATCGTGTGACGGCTTTATGGAGGACAGGTCTCATGCCAGCTGCTGCTCATGGAGCCACAGCTTCAGGTGTCAACAACAGTGAGCTGACCAAGTTGCGGCAGACGGCAGCAATGTTGGCGGGGCGGTCTAGTAAGTCTTCCTCCCTCACGCTTGTCCTTGCCACACAGGCTGACGCCAAGTACGACCCCATATATGATGCGACGTTGGATCCAGTGCGGGCTTGTGCGCCGTTCATCTGGGACCAGAGGGTTAGTCTTGGGAGGCTTCAGAGGGCGTGGCAGAGAGTTCGAGAAAGTTGTTCGTCGCGGCCTCCCTGGTCATCAGCCAAAGGTCCAATAGCAGTGCTCATACTAACGTTGGCAAGGATAGGCTGGGATATGTTTCCCAGCACGGTGCTGGTCAGTGATCTTGGCCACCACTTTGATCTGCTCCGTCTTCCTCCACGCTCGGTCGTGGAACCTGTGCGCCAAGGCATCGAGCGATGGCAATCTCAACAGATACTTGAACATCACAAGGAGGTACGTGTAGGAGGAGAGATCATCTGGACGAGGGCGCTCAGGAAGTGCATTGGGGGAGGTAAGGCAGTGAGTAAGAATGGGAGATTCGCTGGTGCACTTCGTTCGCTGTGGTCAGGTGCGCTATGGTCTCGTGACCGCCTTGCACGTGCTGGCTATAGAATATATCCTGCCTGTTGCTGGTGCTCGGCCGACAAGGCCACCATCGGGCATGAGTTCTACGAGTGTCCAGATTTTTCTCATGATGTGTATGATGATCCTGATCTAGATTGGGATCCAGGTCTTAACTATGTGCGCTCTTATCTTAGTGAGAAAGGGCAACCAGGTGGAGGACAGCAAGACTATGACTACTTTGAGACCTCGGTTGGGATGCCCATCAGCCCTCTGGTTCCTCCGTATGTGGATGATAAGCTGGAGCTATCTTTCTGGGGAGATTGGGAATCTGATCGGAGTTCTTGGAGTGGGGTATGCTATACTGACGGGTCTGGGATGGCCCCCAGTTGGCCAGAGCTAAGAAGATTCGGTTGGTCAGTTGTGCAACTTGGGGACAATGGGATGTCCATAAGAGCCTTGGTTGGACCGCTATGGGGGCCTATACAGACTGTGGGAAGAGCTGAACGATTTGCTGTCCTTCAAGCCCTCCGTCATTTGCCGCATGTCAATTTGCTTGTGTCAGACCTATTGGGCCTCGTTAAAGAAGCACACAGCTGGTCACCTGAACTTGCTGATGCTCAAGCGGCCTATGCCGATATCTGGCGATCCATCCTGGCAAGGTATCCTGGAGGAAAAGGCCGACCTTATTTTGTGTGGCGTCCAGCGCACCTCGCAGATGATGAATACATCGACTGTGCTGAGGAAAAGAAGTTGCCATGGAAGTTTGTCATGGGCAACCGCTGGGCAGATTATTTTGCTAAGCGAGGCGCCCTCGAACACGCTCAACCTGACACTGTGGTCAAATACTTTGAGGCGCGGCTTCAGGATGCAAGGGTGCAGGCGAAGTTCTTTTCCTGGGCAGCGGCCAAAATGGCTGCACGAGATCAACTGAGCGGTCGTCCTGAGCAACTCCTGAGGGTCCCTCTGTACAATGTGCCCTGTGTAGCTCCGACTGGACATAATATGGTTGTGAGGTCTCCCCAAGTCTTTCAGTGTAGAGAATGTCTTGCGGTTGCCCGAACGCAGGCCAGTCTTGGGAAGCTCTTGGGAAGTGAATGTAAGCCGACGGCCCAAGAGAGGCTGAAGGCACGTGCGGACCAGCAGCTCCAGCGAGCTCCGCCTGTGAGGTCTCGCGCTGTGAATATTGCCCTGAATGGGGCTGCGGATTTTGAAGGTGTAGGCTTGCCACAGGACGTCCAAGGGGTGTCTGGATCTGCGTGGCCTCAGTCTACCGCCGATGAAGAGATTGTCGAGCTCCAGGGGCACCAGGTCTTGGTGCTGCCGTGGGCGATGGTTTGCACGTGTTGTGGCTCCTACCAAGTGTCTCGTGGCAAAGTTGCTAACTGTAAGTTGCAAGAGGAATGTTTCGGGGCGTCGGAGCACGGGCTGACCAGATATAGGCAGACGTATGCCACTTCTGCCATCAAGGCTGGTCGCCACCCTAAGACGGGCATGTTTTTAAGACCCGTCTAACTTTCTCATGCAAGGCCCGTGTTCCCGTCCCTCGGTTGCACGACACGGTCTGGCGCTGGTCCTCCTCTCTCCTCCTCCTCCTCTCTCCTCTCTCCTCCTCCTCCTCCTCCTCCTCCTCCTCCTCCTCCTCCTCCTCCTCCTCCTCCTCCTCCTCCTCCTCCTCCTCCTCCTCCTCCTCCTCTCCTCCTCCTCCTCCTCCTCCTCCTCCCTCCTCCTCCTCCTCCTCCTCCTCCTCCTCCTCCTCCTCCTCCTCCTCCCCTCCTCCTCCTCTCCTCCTCCTCCTCCTCCTCCTCCTCTCCTTCTCCTCCTCCCCTCCTCCTCCTCCCCTCCTCCTCCTCTCTCCTCCATCCTCCTCCTCCTCCTCCTCCTCCTCCTCCTCCTCCTCCTCCTCCTCCTCCCTCCTCCTCCTCCTCCTCCTCCTCCTCCTCCTCCTCCTCCTCCATCCCGGCAAGCCGCTCCGCCCCCCAGAGGAACGGCGGGAGGCCCTCCCGCCGCCGTCCAGGCCGGCGCTGCGCAGGCGCCCCGCCGCTCTGCCCGCCCATGTTGGGGGAGCACCAGCAGCACGAGGAGGGAGGAGGAGGAGGAGGAGGAAGAGGAGGAGGAGGGAGGAGGGAGGAGGGAGGGAGGGGGCCTGAGGCAGGGCCCCTCTTTATGGAGCCACGAGACGTGTGAGCGGTGCGCCGACATGTGGCGGAGCCGCCGTGCGGGCGCTGCCGCTGGCGCCTTCGGTGGAACACTGCCATGGGGACCTCAGGTGGAGCCCCCCAGGGGGCCGCGAAGCGTGTGCGGGTGTGCCGAAGTGAGTGGCCGGGACGCATGCGAACTGTGCCACTGGGACCTTCGGTGGAGCTTCCCATAGGGCCACGAAACGTGCGCGGGTGTGGCGACATGAATGGGCGGGCTGCATGCGAATTGCGCCACTAGGACCTTAGGTGGAGCTCCCCGTGGGGCCTTGTGAGTGCATGCCGAGATGGGCGGCCGGGGCGCATGCGAACTGCGCCACTGGCGCCTTAGGTAGAGATCCCAGTGGGGCCACGAAGCGTGTGTTGGGGTGTGCCGAAATTAGTTGCCGGGGCGCATGCGAACTGCGCCACTGGGACCTTCGGTGGAGCCCCTTGTGGGGCCACGAAACATGTGCAGGTGTTCCGAAATGAGTGGCCGGGACGCATGCTAACTGCGCCGCTACTGGCGCCTTCGGTGGAGCTCCCGATGGGGCCACGAAACGTGTGAGGGGTATGCCGACATGAGTGGTTGGGACGCATGCGAACTGCGCCACTGGGACCTTAGGTGGAGCTCCCCATACGGCCACGAAACGTGTGAGGGTGTGCCGACATGAACGGCCGGGACGCATCCGAACTGCGCCACTGGGACTTTAGTTGGAGCTCCCTATGGGGCCACGAAACATGTGAGGGGTGTGCCAACTGGTGGACATGCGGAGGGGAGTGGCATGCATGGGAGGAGGGAGGAGGGGGAGGAGGAGATGAGTGGATGACGCGGGGCGCTGTCTCTCAAAACGAGGAAGGAATACCACAGGATGGTTGGGGAAAAAGCCTTTGCGTTGTTTGAGACGAATGCTCGCAGCGCTAAGGCGAGCGCCCCTTTTTGGAAACGCCCTGCCCTGCACCCTTGAAACTTGTGCAAACTTGTAATGACGAATGCTCGCGACGCTGAAAGCAAGAGCAACGACTTGAAGACCACCTGTGCTCCGTCCTTGGAGTTGCTTCATCCCAAGCTTGAGGATCATAAAAGGTGGGGAGGCCTCAGGCGACAAGCACGGCCCCGCGGGAGGAAAAGGAGGAGGAGGAGGAGGAGAAGCGGAAGGTGGAGGGGGGCCGACTGAAGAGGAGGAGGAGGAGGAGGAGGAGGAGGAGGAGGAGGAGGAGGAGGAGGAGGGGGAGGGGGAGGGGATGGGGATGAGGGAATGGGACGGAGGAAAGGGGAACAGGAGCAGGAGGAGAAGGAGGGGCCCATCTGCTCCGCGATCATTTGACCAGCGAAGATTTCGCCTCCCACAGCCCGCTCTTAAACAAGCGAGGTGGGCCCCCAACGGAAGTCCTCATTCGTCTCCGTCATCGTCATATTCGCGGGATTGCCCTAGTCGCCTCAAGTGGAGTTGCGAGACCCCCCCTCACCCACACACACACAGCAACAGTTTCATTATCTTTCTCCTATTTCTTAGGAGTTTCATCATGATCATGATCCTCGTTTAGTCCTTCCCCCCCTTGCTAAATTTACTGAGAACGAGGTCGCAAAGTTGCCAAACAGCCTTCCACGCATGCAGACTGAAGACGGATTCGTTTGGGACTCGGGTGGGTTTGGTTTGTGTCCCCTGGCAAACTGGACGTCAAACTGGCGCCTCCGTGCATGATTTGAACTAGAGGGGCGGTCCCCTCGCGTTGCATGCATCCTTATCAATTTCCTCTTCCACTTCGCATCACGTGGAGCATCATCAACTCCGCCTCCCCCCTCCAACCCGTCCTCCCTCCGCTCTTTTAGCCTGTCCTCCTCATTATTCTCCTCCAGTTCCCATCCATTCTCCTTGTGAATAGTTTTTCTTGTCGCACCCCCAGGCGTGTTGGTAGGGCGAGCCGGGCGTTTCACCTGAGACTTCTTCGCCATTGTCATGTCTGACCCTGAAGCTTGAAATATGCAGCAGGTTCAAGGATGGAGGGTGACACGTTTTCAACATGTTGTTATCGCTTCAGAGTCGCGCGCATTCGTCTTAAAAGTTTGAAGCAGCTTCAAGAATGCAGCATCGGTCGTACTCAAACTGAGGCTCTCGCATCAGCGCCGCGCACATTCGTCTGACAAGCTTGTGCCAGTTTTAGCTCGCCCAGAATAGCATGAAACTGCATCCCCAGTGGGACACACGATCCCCGCTTTAGGGGGGCTTGCGCTGCCAACGGCATGCTGACGACGGGCAGGGTCCAATCTATTTCTTGAGCCGTTCCATCCAGTAGGCTCCCGTGAAGGAGTGGAGCGGAGCCGAGCCCGTTGCGGATGCAAGTCAGGGTTGCCAGGTAGACTTGATTCAAGTGTGCTCGACCGCCTGGCCTTCTTCTCGGCCTTGCTCACACCTTTCTGCCTTAAATGGCCTGGCTCAGGACTTTCGGCTTCAAACCAGCCGCAATTCCGTCCAGGTATTCTCGTTGGGTTTATGCATCTGCTCGCGACGTGGTCGCCTCAAGAGGCGATTGTGCTTCTCTGCTACGGCGCCGCATTTGGTGCAGAACCGAACTCGGAGGGTAGTATGAACATTGAGGGTGAGGGTGGAGTGAGCCCAACTACCCATTGTATGGATACGATCCCCCCGCTCAGGGGTCATTGAAACACCATCTACACTATATAGGTGTGGGTACTTGGTGGGCCGCCATTCTTAGTCACGCCCCAGTGACCGACCGACAACACCTGAGGCAGTGCTGTTTATCTTCATGCTTTCCACAAAGTGATTGACCATCTTCAGGAATGGAGCGCGGCTCTTGTTCAAAATGAAGCTCTCGCCCTCGCACCCCGCACATTCGTGCTCGTGCTCAAAGTGCGGCTCTCGCCACAGCGCCGAGCACATGGATGTGAACAGCTTGCGACAGTTAAATGGATCGAGGACAGTTTGTGTTATACATGGGGCTCTCGCTCGAGATTTCTTTTAATGAGGAGACCCAGCGTTCAAACACATGTAACACCGCACGGATTGAGGGCGGTTCATTTTCAAAACGGAGCTCTCGCTTGAGAGTCCTTCGAAGTTGATGACCACACGCGTAAATTTGCGCAACGGTTGCGCGGATGGGGGACCGGTCCTTTCTCGACAGGAGAGTATCGTTGGACACCTCGTTGAGCTGTGTCATCACACTTCTTGTATTCCGGATTGCGCGCCAGAAGAATGCAATGCAGTCCCTTTTCAGAACGGGGCCCTCGCCCAAATGACAGGCCCATAGCGCTGATTATTCCAGGGAGCCAACTTCTGAGAGTGAAGAGGAAAACGTTCAGGGACGCTTGGGGAGGGGACTTGGGACGAGAGGGTGTATTGCAGCATCGCTGATGAACGTTGGTTTTGCACTGGCCCTCCTTCTCCTCCTCCTCCTCCTCCTCCTCCTGCTCCTCCGATGTCATCGAACCCCATGGTATAATTCGTGATCCTCCTCCTCCTCCTCCTTCCCCTCCTGCCCCCTCCTCTTCCTCCCCCCTCCTCATGCCTCCTCCTCTTCCTCCTCCTCCTCCTCCTCCTCTTCCTCCTCCTTCCCCCTCCTCCCCCCTCCTCCTGCCTCCCTCCCTCCCTCGCGGCCTCGCCGGGCAGCCGCGCACCGCAGGCGCGGGCAGGGCGCCGGGCGAGAGAACGGCGCGGGCGGCGGCCGCAGCGTGAGCTTCCACGCCGAGGCCCCGCCGGGCGCGGCCGCGAGCCCGAGAGCCGCCGCTGCGTCGCCGCCTCCCGCCTCCCATCTGCGGCCAGGAGGAGGGAGGGAGGAGGCGGAGGAGGAGGAGCAGGAGGAGGAGGAGGAGAAGGAGGAGAGGAGGAACGAGGAGGAGGAGGAGTAGGAGGAGGAGGAGGAAAAGGAGGAGGAGGGGGAGGGGGAGGGGGAGGACAAGCTAGGTGCGCTCGCGTTATATCTGACATCCTACCCCTCCCTCCCATCCCTTACCATGGCGTAGATCCCCTCTCTACTCGCACAGTCGGATGTCGAGCAGGGCAATGATCCCGAAAGGGTATGCGATGCATTGTAGAGCACGGCATGGCATGGCGTAGAAGAGCACCGCAAAGCGTAGTATGTCACAGCATGGCGTGGCGTGGCGTAGTGAAGAATTGCATCGCACAGCGGCCCCGAACATCACATTGCATAGCGTGGCGTTGAAAATCAAAGCGTAGCATGGCATAGCACGACGTGGCACTTAAGCACTGCATATCACATATTCAGCTGAAGGCATGGCATCGCGCAGCGGAACGCAACCTAGCATTGCATTGCATGCCGTGGCATGGCGGAGGGGGGAGGAGGAGGAGCAGGAGGAGGAGGAGGAGGAGGAGGAGGAGGAGC